AATTAAAATCGCTGTATCTCCTTTAAAAATACAATAATTGATTTCTATTGCGTTAAATTTTTTTACAATTTTTCCACTCCTGATAAAGACATTCTTTACATATTTATCGGGGGAAAAGTTCAGAGAAGTGAGAGCAGCGCGAATATGAGCAGCTAAGCTGGCAATTTTATTCTTATGTAGATGTACTTACATACATGCTCTTACGCATACTTGATCCCCTCTTTCTAAATTTATGTAACATTGAACTTATGATCTATTTGAGAATTGGATAGGTTTATCTAAAAGTAATCTTTTATACTAAAAAATTGGGAGATTTCTGCAGATCATGTTAATTGCGATTTTTTGAAATTAAACATATGTGGCGTCTTACATATCTCGCGCTTCAGGCTCCAATCGTTAGGTGGCCAAGCCCCTAATAACTCTCTCCCGTCAAGCGGCAAAATACCTGCACGATTACTATATAAGCGCGATCGAGTCAGTCTAAGCCCACACCTCTTCTTTGTCTAAGGCAGGGAGCACGTCATCAGCCTTACTGATGAGTCGTGGCGTGCTCTCAGGACGAAACACCTTTTTCTCTCTCTTATAGATGACCTCTCGATCTTTATATTGATCCTACCCTTCGAACCTATACGATCTTCTACATTGGTGACCCCGACAACGAACAATAACGCAACCTTTTCACTATATACTCTCACGCATCTCCGCATCCTCCACGCCGGGTACACGCTAACGCTGCTAATCCCACGCAATTCGCTGGAACCTCTCAACGATACACACATTTTCGCACATCGCACAACTCGTTCACGCACGGCAACGCGCCCCCGCATCTCTCGCAATGGAGCGTGGAAGACCCGGAGATCCAACGAGACCCTCAACTCTCTTTCTTAACTTCTCTCACCCTCTCATGCCTTCACACCCTCGTCTTTCGTATTGTCACTTCTTTTGTTTTGTACTGACCAGCCTATATAACTTACTAATCTTATCTTATCTTACTAATATATAAAGCAAAGTTTCTAAAACCGTTGAAATCGCTAACTGCGAAAACTACTGAACCGATTTTGCTGAAATTTCGCACACTGATTCATGACACTTCCTAGATGAATTTAGTATAGTTTTTATCTTAAAAAATTTAATAGCAATAGCAATAAATAAGCTCAAAGTTTTGCAAAAATACGCCAGCTTTTCACTTTAGTTCAGTAGGATCCGCTAGGTGGCGTCGACATAAGATTGAGGCTACCTGCAACAGATTTAAATAAATGTGGTTATAATACGCCGGAGCGTCTCGAAATCTGATGCAGTCGTCCTCCGGCAGTTCAACGAGCTGCATAGAGAATGTAGATGATAGTCGTTCAGCTGGATATCCCGGTTACGGACGACACTCTTCTCCAAGAGGGAAAAGACCTAGGTCTACATACATCCTGAATCTCGACGAGTGCGATAAAAAAGAATCATTCTAACCGATGACGTCTCTAGCATAATACCAGGAGAAATATCTAGCCAGAGCACAATCTGCTCTAACTCTTCAGAGATATGTGGCAGTCCCATCATCCACTATCCCGCCTCGTGCATTCAGAGAATTTTTTGCTACAAATGTAAGCCAAGAAAAACAGCTCTGAGGGGCACGGGCCACGGGCAGCCACAACGGCTACCTACGAAAGCGCCTACGCGCCACCTAGCCAGCTAGCCACGTAGCTAGCTAGCCAGCCTGGTGAAAATTCCATTTCATGGTGAGTATATAGTTTAGGCGCCAGGTAGGGTCCCGTAGCCTTTTCAATTAGAACGGTCCCACCAAAGTTTTTTTAATGTATTTTTGCCTGCTGAACACGATTATCGATGGTGGGTCGCGATCCGGATGGACAATTTTTTTTTATCAACAAATTTTGTAAATTAATAAAAATTATTCATTTTTTTGGAAAAAAAATTTTTTTTCCTATTCTTTAGCTCATTTTTAACAAAAAAGTTTACGTACACCATATGCCTAAACCCAATACTTTTCCCGTAAAAAATTCGACAACTTTCAAAAAATGCGTTTTTTGCTATTTTCAATAGCTTGCTACTTAAAGCTCGATTAATATTTTTCAACTCAACACCTCTCAAATTGTTAGCCAAACATAGTATTTTAAGAATACGTAAAGAGCCATTGATTTTATTTGGTTGTTCTTATCCAGCGAGCTTGACGGTCTGTGCCTTTTTAATGTGACCGTACGGCCTCGGCGCAATACGATATATTCTGGCATTAAATGTTTGTTATCTGGACAGCCATACATAGATTGTTTTTTATGTATTTTTGCCTGCTGAACATAATTATTGATGGTGGGTCGTAATATCGAAGGTGATCAATGTTTCTTTATTCACAAATTCCATAAACAAATTGCAAAAATGTAATTTTTTCTAAAAATAATGTTTTTTCCGCTTCTCGAGCTTATTTTAAACAAAAAGTTTTGTATAATGTACATCTGTTAAGCCCATACTATTTCCACAAAAAAACGTGAACTGTAAAAAATCACGTTTGCCGTTTTTCACACAGCTGCAACGTGGGGCTTTTATTATAATTTTTTACTAAAAAGTTTTTAATTCTCCAGTTCATGCAGGGGTTTAAGAATATCTTAAAGTTGATTAATTTTATTTGTTTGTTATTTTTGTTCAGTGAACTTAGCAGCTTCTTGCTTTTTAACTCTAAGTAGAAAAATAACATCAGAAGATAGAGCTTATCGATTTTCATGAAAATTTTGACGATATTTTAACGATAACAGTATTCGGTGTTATTTTTATATTACTATATTTTTCAGATTACTCTGAGTCAAATTTGAATGAAAGTATCACCAAGGCTGAAGAGTATTTGGTACGTGTTGTTAATAAAAATTCAAAATGCAATAGCTTTGATGAATTGCGTGTATGGTCTTTTCATCATCAAAAACAGTGCTTAATTGAAGATCTACCTCCAACCTCTAATTCTATCAATTTGCACATTTTAAGAGCATATTTCGTAGTATATTATCAAATTAAATGTTTGAATGTTGAAGTTGAAAAATTAGATCCGAAAGAGTTTGGTTACATAGAGTGTGACGATCTCCTTATGCCACGAAAAATTGAAACTTTAATTCCACCTTACGAAGAATTATTACAACCTTGTTCTTGTAAAGTATGCAGTAGAAAAACCTGCTTATGTGTTGCAGAACAAATACCGTGCTGCACTTTTTGTAATTGTAAAAAAGAAAACACATGTAAAAATAAGTACAGTGGAAAATAAAATAACAAAAATTGTGGTAACTTCGTAAGATATGTATATATGTACAAGATGCAGTATACTATAAAATAGATTTTAAACAAAGAAATGTATCGTACCTTAATAAACTACGTATTATCACATTATTATACTTTGGGGTAGTCCTGTTATATTTTCTTAAATTTTATTTAGCATACATTGATAAGATCAAAAACTTTTGATTACTGGTTTATGCTAATTTGTTGACAACAAAAAACTGACTACATAGCTATATATGTACTACCACAAGCCCCTATATAAACTGGAGAATTGAAAACTTTTCAGTAAATATATAAAAAAGCAAAAAAAACATTATTTTTAGAAAAAATTACATTTTTGCAATTTGTTTATGGAATTTGTGAATAAAGAAACATTGATCACCTTCGATATTACGACCCACCATCAATAATTATGTTCAGCAGGCAAAAATACATAAAAAACAATCTATGTATGGCTGTCCAGATAACAAACATTTAATGCCAGAATATAT